AAAAAATGTTATTTTGTTGTAGTGATGGTTGAATAAAATTGTTTTTATATATAGGCTTGACTGACAATTAAAAAATAAATATGATATTATTATAGCCGACAAAAATAAAATAAAATACTATTTTCATCTTCTTAATAAGTTTACATTAATCTTTTATCATTTACTTAGCATTAAAAATATAATTATATTTATATATTTTTTTATATAAATATTATTATATTTGTTAAGAAGAAGATGAATCCGAAACCGAAAAAAGATCTTCTGACTCATCTAATCAAGATAAAAAAGAAAATATATTTAACATAGAAAATCCACTGCAAAAAAAATTGAAAATTGCAATGGAATATTGCTACGGAATACAATCTATTGCGAAATTGCAACGAAACTTGCTAGGTAATAAAGAAATAGTCTCAATTGCGATATGTTGTGAGAGAATACTGCAATAGAATAAATTTGTCACAAATATTTTTGAAATTACACAAGGAATATAATATTCCGTTGCAAAATTGCGACGGAAATAGCAACAAATTAATTCCGTTGCTGATTTTTCAAAAATTACTTAGAAAATTGCAACATAAATAGCAAAAGATTAAATTATTTACAAAATTTCATTAATTTCACGAAGAATCTTACATTCTATTGCAAAACTACGATGAAAATAACTACATATTAAATCCGTTGCAAAATTTTTCTAATTTAATAATATTATTAATTAATTAATAATTATTTAAAAAATAATTTTTTAATTATTAATTATATTATTATTTATTATAATTAAGTAATTACTCTAATTATTCCAAAAGAATTGTTATTAACCCATCCAATTACACGTCAAACGCACACAGCTCCTTCCAACCCTTTTCAATTTCCCCAAATTGAACTTGCGAAGCTCGTGGATCATCTCCTCCGCCGTCGCTGCTAGATAGCCCGAAAATGACCGGAGGCTTGTAATCCTCACTTGCGCGGTTCGATTTTCACCTAAGCGCAGCAGTTGTAGGAAACAACTAGGTTCGCGAGCGGCCGAGCCATAGGGGTACAACTTCATCGCCTCTGCTTTGGGCATTAATATTTTGCTTATCAGATGTTATATTTTTTGGATAGGAGATGGTAATTTCTTTTAATACAATATGAGCCGTAGGCTGCCATGATTTTGATTTTTCTTTTTACTTCATTGAGAAAATGTTAAATGAGCTATTATGATTTTTGTGCCTATATATTGCGTACAATTAATACATTCAAATAACTTTAATCTGAATGAAATTGGAATCTTTCTAGATTTCCCTCACATAAATGTTGCAATAGTATGATTATATTTGCAAAGATGTAGTAGCCGGTACCCTCTGTAGATACAAAACATGGGTTATGAAGAGTTTATTGCTTTTTCTTGATGTTTCTATTATGTCATGCTAATCATTAAACAATCTTGGTTCTCTTGCAACATTTTTGAGTTAACATGTTTGCTCGGTTCCTAATTGATGGACTGGGATGCTTTTGAACTTCTGAAGCTTCGGATAATATTTTCTGCAGTTATTAGTTTAGCCATGCACTTTATGACAGCACCAAGAATGGTTTTCATAGTCTTTTGTGTCTACAAATGTCATGTGATTGTTCATTATAGTATTAATTCTGATGGTTGACAGAAACATTACAATTTATGCATTAGAAGATTCTAGGTTATTGTAATCCCTTATGAGGTGCTAATATTTTATAGAAGAGGGAAAATATAATTCTGTTTCTTTGTTATTACCTTTTATCCTATTGTTTTGAGTCTTTTCTATTTCTGACATTAATATAGATGGATGCATCTTCCAGAATCTCTAAAATAAGAAGTCGAGAACGTGATAGGCTCAAAGGGCCTCCTTGGCTAAAGGTGTGTTAGTTTTGTTTATTTAGGCACTAAATACTACACATAAACAACTATTTTTGTCATTTGTATGGTTTATTAAGCTTTACTTTAAAGATGAAATTAATAATTTGAGTAGGCACAATATATGCATTTTCTAGTCATTCCTTTAATTGCTTTTATTAGCTGCAGTTAACTTTAAATGCAGTCTTGATCTTTTGTTACATTTAGAAACCTTGGATTGTTTTCAAAATTAAACTTCTCTTTATCAATGAGAGTCTCATTATTATATGTTGGGGTTCTGAACTGAATTTCCATCAAACTAATCTCAGGCATTGATGGGTGGTATGGCATTCTCACCTGTGTATATGCTATTCTTGACTATGCCCAGACTGGTTTGATTGCAGCTGTGTTTTTCTTAAAGTGAGTATAATAATATGTTCTATTTTATCCCACTATTGACACATAATTTTATTTATTTCATAATTCCTTTAATAATTTGTTTGACATTATTGTTTCATGTTGGTAATTGATATGAATCTGAGTTGGATTTACTTCGAAATTTTGTTGAATTATAATTCTAAATGTTAGTGTGCATTTGATGACTTGAGTTATGCCTTGGTGCTTAGATGTCAGAGGTGTTGTTGACAAGAAGTACTACTCACACTGTTCATATGCTTTATAAATTGCATATTATATCGTATTAAACTAAGTGCATAATATTGCTTTTTTTTTTTTTTTTTTTTTTTCTAAATCTTGTATGTCATGGGGATACTTCATACTGCAATATTATATGTTGAAATTAATGTAGTGGTAATTTTGAAGTTGTTAGCTTCTGTAGTGACATTATCAATTAAGAAACAGGAAACATGATTCGGCCCCTGATCATTCCTTATAGCAAAGACATTAACTCCGAATGATTCTATATATATCTATAGATGAACACCAAAAATCAGTACAGGAACTGCATGGTTGATGGAAAGATTTAATTGAATATTCTTGAATGACTGAAATGGTTTGATCTGAAAGTTTTGAGAAGTTCTTGCAGTCACAGAACATGAGGAGACAATAATCATCTAAAAAATAGATTATTCTCAGCTTGATCTCAGGAGGTGAAACATAATAAGCATCCGTTGTATTATATCCATTTTTTCGTACGATATTACGAAGATATGTTTGGTTCTCACCGTGTGCAGAACAAAAATGCCGCTAGAACAGCAAAGGCAGAGTTCATTAGTGTTCTTCTACAATTTCTTTGGCATCTCTCTAGCCTTGCCTTGCCTCCGAAACCATCTCAGTTCGTTGATCATCCCTTCGGATCTTTGCTTGGTGTCTGTGTTCTTTGGCTTCTCTTGTAAGTATTTATATACATAAAATTGAATTTTTGGATATATAATATGTATAAATTGAATAATATAGTAGAGTGGAGAAGGGGTCTGCACCTTAATAGGCATTTCAGTTTAGTTATAGTAACAAGAAAAAATAATTTAATAAATAAAATGATTAGATTATATATATATATATCTTATGGGATGATTTTTACATTTTACCTTTTGAACAAAGTAATTTTTATTAATTGTTTCAGTAAAATTAATGAATTTGTAAACTAGTGTGGTGTTTATGTCTATATATTTATATCTAGGTGTTATGTATACCTTTGGTTGAGACTTATGTCACAATATCATCAATAAAGTTATTGTTTTGTATGACAATGGCAACATAACACCTGGATGCAGGATTGATAAATTTACTCTCTCTTGAATATGAACTTGGCATGGCTTATTTTCTTATTACACATGTTATGTGTGGCTATTATAGTTTGATTTTTTTGAAATGATTGTGCTCCAGGTACACCTGCAATAACTTCAAGAGGTTGTCTTGAGGCTGATTTTGAAAGATAGTTAGATTTCTTATTCAAGTTGCTCGTATTGCAAGTTTTACCAAAAAGAATATGAGAAACATCCAAAAGGGTTTATGAAAGGACTTGAGAACAACAAAGAAATCATTGAACTCTGGGACCGGGTAAAAAGCTTTGCTTCACAATTTGTCATGCTGGAATATGATGGATGATTTATTATTATATATTTTTTTAGTTACGACTTTAATTATTTTTGTATGATATTTGGTAACTAGAAGTAGATTTATACATTTACCTTATATGTGCTACATGAAGTATTGATATTATATATATTTTATTACGTGGTCTATTACATTCTGTTTTGTTTGAAATTTCTATATGATTTTAGTTAGTTTTTGTATATTTGATGAGAGATATTAACCGAATCATTAAATTAGGTTGATTGTGAATGATTGAATTAATATTTATTATATAGGTTTTGGAAAAAAATGACAAAATTAAATAAATAAATAAATAAATTGACTAGGCAATATATTAATTCCGTCTCAATTTGTTAAAAAATTTGCAACGGAATCAGCAAAAGATCTTTTCTCCTGCAATGCATAAAATTGCGACGGAAACAACGATCACTAATTATGTGGCAATTTTTTACAACGGAAATCTTAATTGTCACATTATATTACTACAATAGTATTTACTACTGCTCCCACTTGGATACAAATTCCGTTGTTATTGAAAGTTGTGATGAAAATTTTGTCTGTTGTTACGAAATTTTTCCGTAGTAATTTGCAACTTTTTTTGTAGTGATCATGAAACTTCAATAGATTCTTTTAACACAGATCTATCTATCAACACGATTGCACAAGAACAACAAAACTTAATTGATATTATTAAACATATAGATAATCCAGATGTCCAAAAGACATGTTTCGAAAAATTACTTCAACATCTAGAAAAAACAACACACTAATATAACTCTAACCCGCAAACATATGACCTAATCAAAATATTAGGTAATACCAAATATATATTAAAAAATCCCACAATCCATACCCTTCAAAAGGAAATAAAATAGTTAAAATATGAACTCAAAAAAATAAAAGAACAACAAGCCCAGGACTCATAAACAATACAAAAAACAATCGAAGTTATAAACAATACTGATGCCGCTGAAACATATAATCTTATGTACTTTTTATCCTTTTACATCCTTTGATTTTGTGAACTCTTGGTATCAGAGCCAAGGGGGTGTAAAAGGTGTTCATTAGTGTTCATTTACGTTTTTCAGGAAAACTCCGAGATATTTGCCGACGGGTAACCGGAACAGCCAGGTACGCCTTATGTCCTTTACATCCTTAGGATTGTAAGTTTTTTCTTGAAATATACATCTACACTTTTATGGATTCTTTTTTTCAACGATCTTTCTCTACCATGTCCACAAATAGCTTATCTAGTTCTAAGAAATTAGTCCGTTCTGAAGAAACTATTATTGAAAATTTTAACAAATCTATTGATGATTGGACCATACCAAGGGTCTCAAAAAATGAAATATATGAAACCTCTAGATTCTTCTCTTGGTCCACTGACTTAGCTATTAAAACTGAAGAAAGAGATATCCAATTATCAAAACCCTTTGAGATAATCACCTTACTTTCACAAAATTCTTTAGATAAACACTATTCTAAGGGTTATAAATACATACATATTGGGTTAGTCCAAGTTGGTATAAAACCACTGAAAAAAGAAGGTGTTGATGCTTCAATCCTTGCAGTAATTAGAGATGTTCGTTTTACTAATTTTGATGAATCTCTTCTTAGTTCAGTTAAATCTAGCCTATGCACAGGACCCATATCCTTCGATTGTTATCCTAATTTGACAATCTCTCTGCATGATAAAAATGTACTAAAATCCTTAGTACTACAAATTAAAACTCATAACTATAAAATGTTAGAAGGGTCCATCTCTGTAGCTATAGTATACAGAATTTACTACAAAGCCATTTTATCAGCTTTTGCTACAAAAGTTAAATTTCATAGTAAAAGAGGAGAAACACTTCTTCTTCAAACAGACTTAAGCAAATCTAACGCTATAGTCTCAAAATCTATTCAGTGGAAGGATGTTTCTCTTCCAGATGAATGGGTTTTAGAAAACACGGTTGAACCTGAAAAACCATTATTTCCTACTCCAAACCCTCATCTTAAAACCATATCCCAAAGTAGCAGTGGAGAAGTTCGGCTCTCTTTTCACAGAAACCCAAAATCGGACTATAATTATGAGAATAACTCTACATATTTTAATACAAGTACCATTGCTTTAGGAAGAGTTCCCAACTAAATAGTCCAACTAAACCATCCAGATTTTCCACTTTTGATATTCCAACTTCATCCTTAAAAGAAGTAAATTTCTCTTCATCAATACCTAAATCTATTTACACTCATAGAGACAATGATCTGTTACACGAACCAACTAGTCCTACATTTTCTTCCATAAGTGAAAATGTTAACGAATTGAACACTATAGAAAAAGAATTTTCAATAGATAAAAATAAAATACAAACATCATTTTATAATTTTATCTCAGAAACTAAAAAAATAATTCCCTTTTTTACCTGGTTTGAATTCTATCAAACCACTTATCCAGTTCAAAAAACTCTTCGTCCTATTACCCAAAGAAATCCTACTTGGGAAACAATTAATGGCGAAAAAACCTTTAATACTAATCATCCACCTCTACAAGCTTTTAAGTTTTCTATCAAAGATCAACAAATAAACATTGCCCCTTTAAAGCAAGTTAATGAGGATAAAAAAATTAATATTAAAAATTTAATTGATCAAACCAACTACACTAACATTCATCTAAATACAATCGGAAAACAACTGGAAAGAATTGAATCCCATATTTTAGATACATAATTCACAACACTGTATAAACCAAATCTACACATTTCCTCTGCCAAAAAACCTCTCTTTAAGCCTTTCCAAATCTCCAAAGAAAGTACACAAACTCTTTTACAAGGAAAATCCGATTTTATTAAAGAACTTCAATCCCAACTTTCACTCATATGCACCACCAGTGCCGAATATGCTCTTGATACACCATCATCTTCTCGCTTAAATGTCATTTCCTCACATCAAACTGGGATAAATTGGGATGCACAACCACTCCCTCTTACCTCTGTATTTCACCTTGTCCCTCAAACTCGTTTTAATTCTTCCTCCTTATATAATTGGAATCTTGATGGTTTAGGAGAACATCAAATCATACTTTTGTTACAACAAATGACTATGGCCGCTAATGCCTATAGAACACAAGGGCATGTACAAGATAGGGCTATTGCTGAAGTTCTAATAGCTGGATTTTTAGGCCAGTTAAAAGGATAGTGGGATTCATACCTCACTTATAATCAACAACAAGGTATATTAGATGCTATTAAAATAGATGAATATGAAACTCCTATCTTAAATGAATCAGGTGAAACTATACAAGATGACGTATCCTCTTTAATCCAGACTATATCAATACATTTCTTAGGAGATCCCACCCATATCAAAAATAGAAATACTAAACTCTTATCCAACCTCAGATGTAAAAAATTTAGCGATTTCCCTGTTTACAAAAGAGATTTTCTTGATAGTTTACTAACTCGTGATGACTCAAACCAACCATTCTGGAAAAAAAAAATTCTCGCAGGATTACCAACATTATTAGGAGAAAAGGTCCGAAATAAAATAAAAACCTTATCAGGATCACAAATTATAGATTATGATAATTACACTTATGGGCAATTAATTAGTATAATAACAGAAGAAGCACTTCGTATATGTCAAGATATAAAAATACAAAAACACCTAAAATAGGAACTTAGACAAATAAAAACAGAATTAGGAACATTTTGTAAGAAATTTGAAGCTTGTAGCCCTAAACCCCCTAATGAAAATTGCAACAGTAAAGAAACGTCTATGTCTAATAGAAAAATATCATAAAAAATATTATCACAACGAGATTACAAACCTTTAAAACACCTACTTATTACAATAATGCAAAAAAATATAAAAAACCTCTTAACAATAACTACAAAACAAAAAACAAGGATCAAATCAAATGCTATAGATGCAACAAAACATGACATATAGCTAAATATTGTAAAATTAGAAGAAAGATTCAAGAATTACAACTTGAAGATGAAATAACTGATAAATGTTATAATCTTTTCTTAACATCTTCTGAAGAAGATGAATCCGAAACGGAAAATAGATCTTCTGACTCATCTAATGAAGATAAAATAGATATTATGTTTAACATAGAAAATGATGAAACTTCAATAGATTCTTCTAGCACAGATCTATCTATCAACACGATTACACAAGAACAACAAAACTTTATTGATATTATTAAACATATAGATAATCCAGATATCCAAAAGACATGTTTCAAAAAATTACTTCAATATCTAGAAAAAACAACACACCAACATAACTATAACCTGCGAACGTATGACCTAACCAAAATATTAGGTAATACCAAACATATATTAAAAAATCCCACAGTCCATACCCTTCAAAAGGAAATAAAAGAGTTAAAATATGAAATCAAAAAAATAAAAGAACAACAAGCCTATGACTCACAAACAATACAAAAAATAATCGAAGCTATAAACAATACTGATTCCGCTGAAACATCTAATGAAAAAAGTACAAGACCAAATCCAATCTATTCAAAACATAGCACAATATTTTCTCTTTGTTCTAAAAGAAATCACCTCCAGAAAATATATCATAAAAATACAGATTGAGTTCTCTAAAGGATTTTTTCTAGATACTATAGAACTTTTTGATACTGGAGCCGACCTAAGTTGTATAAAAGATGGATTTGCCCCTACCATATTCCTCCAAAAAACCTATGCAAAGATAAAAGTAGCAAATAATTCAATACTAAACGTCTCCTCTCGAATCGAAGCTTTTTTAGTAAATGAAGGAATTCATTTAAGAACCTCGTTTGTAGTACTAAAAGATATACATCATATGGTTATCTTAGGAACCCCTTTTTTAAATTTGATTACACTTTATATAGTTGGTCCAAAATCGATCTCATTTACAATAAACAATAAAAAATTATATTTTACTTTTATAGGAAAACCACAAACAACTGAAATAAACTTACTAGAAGCCAGCTCAATCTATTCAACTTCAATACATAATATTGTACAATAAAAAATGTTTACCCTAAACGAGTTAAAAAAGGATATTCATTATAAAAGAATTGAAGCTCAACTACAAAATCCAGAAACCAAATAAAGAATTTCTCATTTGCTTAAATTAATAAAATAACAAACATGCTCTAATCTTCCTAATGCTTTCTGGGAACGAAAGAAACATGTTATCACACTTCCTTATGAACCCAGCTTTAGTGAAGATAATATTCCAACTAAAGCTCGACCTATCCAAATGAACCGAGAACTAGAAGAGTTTTGTAGAAAAGAAATACAAGATTTAGAGAATAAAAAACTAATATCAAAATCCAGATCACCATGGAGCTGTGCCGCCTTCTATGTCAACAAAGTCTCTGAAATTGAAAGAGGAACTCCAAAATTAGTAATAAATTACACACCATTAAACAAAGCTTTAAAATGGATTCGATATCCTATTCCTAATAAAAGAGATTTATTACAAAAATTATATGATGCTTATATATTCTCAAATTTTGATATGAAATCGGGTTTTTGGCAAATACAAATTTCCCCAGAAGATAGATATAAAAACCACATTTACTATTCCATTCGGCCAGTATGAATGGAACGTAATGGCTTTTGGATTAAAAAATGCACCTTCCGAGTTTCAAAATATTATGAACGATATATTTAATGATTTCCATAAATTTTGTATTGTCTATATTGACGATGTCTTAATTTTTTCAAAAACTATAGAAGAACATTTTAAACACCTTCGTACCTTTCTATCCATAAAAAAGAAAAATGGTTTAGTCATTTCTGAATCTAAAATAAGTCTTTTTCAAACAAAAATAAGATTCTTAGGACACTATATAACACAAGGCACTATTATACCAATTAAAAGATCCTTTCAATTTGCCAATAAATTTCCTAGTAAAATTCTTGACAAAAACCAATTACAAAGATTTCTTGGAAGCCTAAACTATGTCTTAGATTTCTACCCAGACATAAATAGGAAAATCAAACCGCTTCACAAAAGGTTAAAGAAAAATCCTCTACCCTGGATAGATATACATACAACATTAATACAAAATATTAAAAAGAAAATTACTGAAATACCGTGCCTCCATTTAAATTACCTAAACCTGCCAAAAATAGTTGAGACTGATGCGTCTGATATTGGCTATAGAGGAATAATAAAACAACTACAAGATAATAAGGAAGTTATTATCCAATTTACTTATGCTCATTGGAATGATACACAAAAAAAATTATTCTACTATCAAAAAAGAAATCCTAAGCATTGTTTTTGTATATCCAAATTTCAAAGTGATTTAATCAATAAAAAATTCCTCTTACGAATGGATTGCAAAAGTGCAAAAAAAAAATCCTACAGAAAGAGGTTCAAAATCTTGCCTAAAAACAAATCTTTGCCCGCTAGCAAGTAATACTAAGAATTTTTGACTTTGACATTGAATACATAAAAGGTGACACTAATTATATCCCTGATTTCTTAAGCCGAGAATTCTTACAGAACAGATCAGATGCCGCCGAAACCAGTCAAGCTCCACATCGACAAGACTGACGATGATAACCAAATACCACCCAAAGACGATCTTGTAGATACAGCAACTTCCAAGCCATCATCAGTAAAATCAACGCAAAAATCCCTAAAACAGAGATTTGAAGATGGCGACCCAACAATAGGAGCAATCAATTCCTATAACGGTAACTTTCAATACTTTGTTACTCTCAGTGATGACACTTCTGACTCGGATAAAAACCCTCTCTTAGCCGAGCCAAAAACTTTACAACAAATTCCTCATCCAGAACCTCTACAACAAGTTCCTGAATCCTCAGCCCGCAGATACCCGAAAAAACCTCTTCTTCTCAGAAAACCTACGGTTGCTGCCACTTTAACAAAACCCCCAGAAAACACCTCTGTTGCAAAATCCTCTTCATCTACTTCCACAATCCAGCTCACCCAATCCCTTCGAACTGAATGGTTACTTAAACCCACCTACCAGAATATTATTACCATCGAAAAGGAGTTTGATTCCCTTGACCCCTTTGAGACAGCCGAAGAACTTTTGGAGAAAATAACTTCTACAAACTTTTTGACCATGGGAAAAATATTCTCTACTACCAATCAATCCTCGAAGACACGGCCTCTGTAGTTATTAAACATGAAACTTCAAAGACAAACCTCTCCGAAATTCTTTACTCCCAGTGCAAAATTTTTCGAGTAATCCCTCATTCTGATTGATGTGGTCTACTACTTACTGAGCCTATTCCATTCTCAGAGATATTCTCTAACCTACCTTTTGTGCCAAAACACTACAACTACTTTGAATACCAACAAGCCTGGTTTAACTTCTTTTGGCTCACCAACAAATCAAAAACCCACACATGGCTCATTTACTTTGATCGAAAAGTTAACATAAATTCCTTCCCTATTTGGTGGTCCACTTGGTGGGAATACTTTGGATATATCCCTGAAATTCTTCCACCCATCATCCAATAGTCTTTTGATATATTCTCCAACAAATACTGTCCAACCGAGCATGAAAAAAACTATTTCACTCCCTTAAAAAACTTCTGTACAAAATTTTATGCCCCTTGGATTTGTTCATGGACCCTTGAGATTCATAATGATACACACAACGTACTGCGATGAAGGTTTAACATAAAATGGTGGGGAAAATGTTCGATTGTCAAAAGCATACAACCAGACCAAATCAAGTATTGGATCGCCCAAGATACAAGCGCAAAGCAGATTGCAGCAAAGCCAACTAATCCAAAAATAAAATTCCAAGAACAGCGGTCCCATATTGCTTCTCTCATCGCAGCCGCAAAAACACCGGAGGTAGCCATTCGAATCATACAAGAGCAGCTAGACTCAGACGATTCAACAAGCCAGTCCAACGACACATGGTTTGGTAATAGTGGAATGTAAAAAAAAAATGATGCTGACGACATTCCACGTCATATGAAAGAGACCATCCGAAGACCAATTGTCATAAAATTTTGACATACCAGAAAAAAAAGACTTAAAAAAAAAATGATGAATGATTTATATATATCCCTACTATTAAAAATACATATATATCTATATACACACATATTATATAATATATATCCTACTATTAAAAATATATATATCTATATACACACATATTATATAATATATATCCCTACTATTAAAAATGCATATACGTACAAATACTCTACTATCTATATATACAAATATTATATAATTTATATATATATATATATATATACTTTCTATACTCTACTATCCATTTACACAAATATTATACGTATATATATAATATACCCGACAGGTTCCACCAAGCAGAAAATGAAGTATGGCCGAAAAAGATCACAGGTCCAACTTACCAAATAAGGAATGATGTCGACCCAGACTACCACCACCTTCTGCGTATGGACAAAAACTTCATGAAATTTGCACTTCAGTCCCTTCTTATTTGCTGAAAGACCCCTGCCTCCTCCTATATAAAGGTTTCATTTCATCAAGAAAAAGGATTGCGAACAAGAGAGTCCTTATTTCCTTTATGAATTCCAAAAGTATTGAAGGTCTAAGAGTGTTCTACATGCTAGTGAAGTCTGAGTAACTAGATTAAAAAACGTTCTAGTGAAGTCTGAGTAACTAGGTACGAGTTGGCAAGTAATTTTTTTGAGTGTTCCAAAGTTCTTACTTCTTAATCTTTGTGAGTCTATATGTCTTAATCAATTTAGTCTATGTGTAAACCATAAGTTTGTCCAAGTTGTGTCAAGTTTAAGTTTGTTCATTTAAGAATGTCATTATAATAAATCATCAGTTTATTCAAAAGATACCAACCCGATTCTATTAAAAATACGACTGAAAAACTTAAGTCAAGACCGTAATGTTCTCCACAAAAAACATTGATTCAAGACTATAATGGTTATATATTAACGCCTTAATTTTAATAATCTAACATCCTTTCCCCTGCGGACTGGCCAGGCCAGACCACTAACTAAATTTATAAATATTATTATATTTATATAATAAAAATCTGATAGAAGTATTTTTTTTTTCATTTTTTTTTACGTAAATACTGATTAATATTTAAAAATAAAAAAATTGTAAACTTTTAAAATAAACTGAAGTAATATTTCTTTCTAATCATAACTTTGTAGATTTTATTTGTTTTTTTTTCATCACAATTTATGTTTATCGATAAATGCATACAATCCAAATTTTGTGATGTTTCTTCGTTACTAACAGAAAAAGTAAATTTATAGATGAAAATTTTTTGTTACAAAAATGCTATTTTATTGTAGTGAAGGGTGAGTAAAATTGTTTATTATAAATATATTATATATAAGTTTGACTAACAATTAAAAAATAAATCTGATATAATTATAGCGGACAAAAAAATATTACTTCTGTCTACTTAAGAAGTTTACATTCATTGTAGTTAACATTAAAAATATTATTATATTTATATAATTTTTTATACAAATGTTATTATATTTGTATTATAAAACACTAAAAAAAATATTTGTCTTTTTTTTTTTCTTACATTGTACTATGTTTTGAAATACTGATTAATATTTAAAAATAAAAAGATTGTAAACTTTTAAAATGAAATAAAGTAATATTTCTTTCTAATAATAACTTGGTAGATTTTATTTTTATTTTTTCTTTAAATCATAATTTATGTTTCTCGATAAATACATACACTCCAAAACTCCAAATTTTTTGTGATGTTTCTTCATTGTTGTATTTCAATATTTTGAACTATTAGTATTTTAAATAAAAAAATAAATATTTGATTATATATTCTAGAGAACAAATAAATTAAAAAAATTTTTAAAACACAAAATAATATTGTGAACTGCTTATATATTTGATTTGTTTGCTTTTAATTCTAAATCGCTTTTTTTTTTTTTTTTTACTATTCAATCTATAAATTTTAATAAAATTATTATTATTATTATTATTATTATTATTATTATTATTATTATTATTATTTACAATCACATTAAATAATAAAAAAAATCCAAAAAACAAAATCCAAATAATCAAGTATGCATTTTTTACTACTCAATTAAAATTCAATATTCAAAATACTTACAAAACATATTAAGCACAAAAATACTTTTCTGAATAACCAGATATACATTTTCATATTCAATTTGAATTCAACATTCAATCTTGATATATATGTTATATATTTGCTTGAACACACATGCTACCAATAATATTTACAAAATCCTTCAATTTATTGCTTAGAGGTAATAATAGAATATTTTGCATAAGACGTGCCAATGGTATCAACAGTTTTTTGCCTATTGCAAATACAGACAACTAATTTTCCATTTCAAAATTTGAAATGTAAGAATTTACCATTTTGTACAAAGTTAGTCAAATTCCTATAATAAAATGTGAATGGTGTAGATTCTCCCTTCTTTACACATATATATGTATTTTGTTTCTTTTCAAAATTTTATTTGGATATATAGTAAATTTAAAAATGTTCTATTACAAAAACCTTGAATATTATGTTTACATATAATGCGACAAAATAGTTAACACGATCACATTAAAATAAAAAATTACGGCCTTGTCGCATACATATTATTATGATGTATGCACACGTGCGCACTGATTAATAGTTTCTATCGTAGTTCCGTACCGATTGATTCATGTATAACTTTGATAAACGAATTTAAATCAATATCCTATATCTATTTTGAATATTAGTAAATTACAAATTTGTCCACACCCTTTCATTTTTTTTATTTTTTTGTCGTATACTTAACATTTTTATCGGATAATCACAAAACAAATTTCTTTTCATTACTCGTCTACAATATACAAGCAAATTATTCCATCTTTTTAAATAGTAAACTTTTTTTATTGAATTAAAATTTATCGAACACTAGAATTATTGCAAACATTCTGTTTTTAGGATTACGAATCAAAGAAATTAAACAGGAATGTAACAATAAAGCTCATCGAATTATCCGCCCCGAAACAATGTACATAATTTTTTAATGAGTTTTTACAAAATATAGTGAATTACTATTATCATTATTATTATTTGATGTTATAGCTTTTGGGCATTATAGGAATAAAAAAAATTCTTGAACAAAATTGGGGTGATTTGCAATGGAACCAAAATTTTGACATAGAATTTATTAAAAAGCAAATAATAGATTCAATTTCCCTAAAAAATAAAGGCAGTAAAAATTTATTATTGGATTGAGTTAGAAAAGATATTGAAGAATAAAATCAAAATACATTTATGTTTAGGGATATCATCGTAGATTTTCTGTAATAAATAACGTGAGAGAGTAGCCCATCGATTTCTGCCCAACTTTTTTTTAAGGGAAAACAGAAACCGCCTTCACAGTGGTAATGGTGGTTTTCGAATCAGGCTTTCATGGCTGCTCCTAACCCTATAAATACCCTCAGACTGTTGTCCTGAAATATCACACCAATTTACAGAGAAAGCAATAATTCATATATAATTCTAATGGAGTGGCAAAACTTGCAGGGTAACGATAATGGGGTAGGTCTGGAGGAGGCTCTCTACGGGTTCCTGTCTCCTCCCCGATATGATCAAACCATTGAATGGAGCTTGGAGGAGAACAAAATCTTCGAGGAAGCTATGGGGGAATTTGAAATCTCTAACCCTAATTTTATTGAGAATGTTGCAGCTAGGGTTCCATGGAGGACTTTGGAGGATGTGAAGGAGCATTTCCAGGCTCTTGTCTATGACTTGGAGCTCATCAATTCCGGCCGGATTCCGCTGCCGCGGTACAAGGACGACGTTGTTAGCGGCGAGGAGGAGGAGGAGGAGAAAGATGCAGATGCTGATAATGGTGGTGCTAAAGAGGACATTAATCAGGTAGCCAATAATGAACAGATTGATCATCTTCCCCAGGCAGGATGTGATTCTGTTGCAGTTGCCACCGCCGCCGCCGCCGCCGCCGCCGCTGAACAGACAAATAATGGACAGCCGCAGCTGCAGCAGAGGCGGAGGGCAGTTCCCTGGACTGAAGAGGAGCATCAGTATGTATATATATATATATATTGATTAATTAATTTATTTATTTTGAATTAAATTGATTGATTGATTTTTGAATTGAACTGATAGGCTGTTTCTGATGGGGCTGAACAAGTACGGGAAGGGCGACTGGCGGAGCATCTCGAGGTTCTACGTCATCTCCAAGACCCCGACGCAGGTGGCCAGCCATGCCCAGAAGTACTTCCGCCGCCAGACCTGCTGCACCACTCCGGTGGAGCGCCGCCGCCCCAGCATTCACGACATCAATACTGTCAACCCTATTCCGAAGCCGATGCCGATCCCGATGCCGGACAATAATATTAGTATTAATCAAAGGATGAACATGATGAGGTCTCCCGAAGCTCTGCTGGCCGGCAACAATCTGCAGGTTGTGGACGTCCCCCCTGCAATCCCAATCCCAATCTCAAACCCTAATTTCCATGGACTGCTCAACCCTACCTGCAGATTCCATGACCTAAACTGCAGGCGCCCTATGTTCGTCCCCATCGGAGTTGACCGTGCTTTCATGAATCAGCAGAATAATAATAATAATAATAATAATACTGCTGCTAATTCCTCCTACCTGTTTCCATCATTCGCGAGCTACCAGCAGCAGCCATGGGGCTGAATAGCCAGTGGCGCCTGAGGAGAACGATCGACCGGATCTGATGATTCAATAAATTAATATAAATAAATAGAAACTTGGTCCAGAAGTACTGTGTCTCTGTGTCTGTCGTCTGTGCGTCATAAGGGTTTAGTCTGTCTGTCTTTCTTGTCTTGTCTTGTCTTGCTTAATAAAGAATATATGCATATATATATATATATATGTATGTATGTATGTGTTAGTTGAGTCTGTGTGTCTCCTAAAACTTCTGATAGCTTTGTGTCATGTTTGTAACAAAATTTATCTGCAGTTGTTGGTTAACTTATTGGCTTATTTTTGTTTTTGAGTTTGTGTGTGCGTGTGTAACGTCCATGGATAATAATTATATCTCAAATCCTTAATTCATCCGCAGTATATTGACCCCAGCTAGCTAGCCATTACAAAGCTAAGTTGAAATACATACATATATATGTAACTGAAAAACACTGCAATTTTAGTTGGTCAGAGAGATAGATCCATCAGTTTAGGGTGTGTTTGTTTGGGGCATTGGATTTTCAATCAACTATTTATTCCTTTTTTTTTTTACCTAAAATATCAAATGAATACTTATTTTTTATTTTTTATATTATACTAAAAATCAATTTTACATTCAAAACATCGTATCAACACCTATTTATATCACATCATACAACTATTCAAATTCAAATTTTTTACTATTTAAATCCCAACTCAAAATCCAAACCCCACACCCTTATAGGATTTCAATAATTCCATTTTCAATTTTTGGTCCGTATGCATGTATGTTTCCAATATTCATGCCACCATCTTATAATTGGTTGTAAAGTGAAATAATTGTTGGGTGTTTATTTTTAAGAAGTTTGAGATTGAATGCCATCTAATTTTTAAGATCCGCTTGTATTTTTGTTTTCCTTTACGTTTTTTAATTTGGTTTGAATTTTGAGGTATATAAATTTGACAGATAAATCTTGTATAGATGAAAAAGTGTCATATTAAAAATAATGTTTATAAAAAAAAATTGTGTTCTATTTTACATAATTTATATTTTATATTGTAATAATAAAAAAGAAAAAAGAAATTAAAAGTAAATATTCACACACCATGAAAGGTTTGTGGACGTTAGGTACGTATATAAGGAAAGCTCCACCTCGGGTGTGAGTTTTTGATAAAATATACTCCTTCCTTCCTTCCGTCCCAAGTATATTTTTTTACCATTTTCGTCCGTTCTAACTCGTACATTTTTTTACCATTTTTGTCCGTCCCAACTCCAAGTACATTTTTTACCATTTTCATCCGTCCCAATTCAAAATATATTTCTTACCATTTTTGTTTGTTCCACTCCAAAGTATTTATTTTTTTATTTAATAAAAATAATCATACACCAATACTACAATCCGAGTATGGTCCTGAATATTGTATTCAGGACCTCCTGAAAAAATGTCAGTCGTCTGATCAAAATCTTAATCAACGGATGAGATTGCAGTTAGGGGTAGATATGTAATTTGATTTTAATAATAATAAGTCAATGATTTGTTTTAGTATAAATTAAGGGAATATAAATACAGATAGATGCAGGTCGTATTCATAATTTTAGTCGGTTCACATCCAAAAAAAAATAAAAAAAATAACTACATCTTCTTTCACCGACATCCATCCAAGAAAATAAATTGTGAAGAAGTCGGAGCGTAGAATAAGATAAAGCAAAATAATGTGCATTTCTGTCGGTTCCAGTGTGTTATGGACGAAGATAACGTTTTAGAAATTACAGAATGACGTAAGTTTTTTTATCGATCGTGAAAGTATTGTATTGAAGAATTTTTATTACATCATATACCTATATTCTAAACATCATATTCTAAATATATATGCATCATAGTCGTATTAGTCAATCAACGTATCAATAGCTGTACACAAGAATTATTTAATCAAAACAATAGAAGACTTGCATACTTCCATTAGTTCAATTAGATAAATTAAATTTATCATAATTGTCGAATCCAATATTTGTGCAAATGATATGTAGCCTGAAATTAAAAATATTCATATTATTTACATTATATTTTATTATATTTTTGTAGAATTTATGTAAGTACTCACTTAAATTTTTTAATTTTCTAATATAATTTAATCGATTGCTCTATAAAATTATATTTGAAACCAAGTATACTTTATCCAAATTTTGAAGTGTTGAATTAAAATAATTTGCCCATAAATTTGAAACAGTTTTCAAATTAAATCATATATATTATATTTTTCATTATTTAAATGCCTAAAACACATAAAATATTTATCCAATCATATACTACGTTAAAAAAGGAAATGCAAGTAATTTAGTTACTCAATATTCGTGCAGAAGCGACATCATAATACTAAATTACGTAAACAATATTACATTAAAATAAACAACATATTTTATAACAATATATATCATTTGACTCTTCAGGTGACGACTATTGGACAAATGCATTTTTTTCAAGCTCCAATGATGCGTACAAGTCATATTGTAGATGTGCGCATAGACAAAGATTTTTCGCACAAAAACAAAGGCAAAAAGGCAAAAAGTGATAATCAAATATACAATACATTCATAATTGCAGCAATAAAAAAATTGTGCAAAAATAATAGTAAAGTTTACCCCAATAATAAACGAACATGTTCAGAGGATGTTGTCACTTAGTCATACATATAAATATAATGGTGAAAAATATATATAACATAATACATCATTTAAACCTAACCAAGACATCATAACTATGCAATGTATAAATCATAAATAGAAATCATAAAATGAAATATATCATAACTATACGTGCAACATCTCTATATGCAACTTACATCATTTATATTTGATGTATATATTATGTTTACTGAAGTTATATATCATATTTATAAACATAATGGTGAAAAATATACCTAATATAGTCCATCATTTAAGTTTGATCAATATATTATAACTATGCAATATGTAAATAATAAATATGAACTATAACATGAAATAAAAGTGTGTACAATAAGGTTTAGTATCATCAGTCTATCATGAGTTAAACAACATATGTGTCATGAATATACATCGTACGTGTCCGGAGGCTAACAAAAAGATTTTTAGGAATAATTGTGTTGATATTTTTTTCTAAAAGAGACTAATCAAGAATGCACATATACACATGATCACTATAAAAATATTATGCAGTATTGAAAATACAACCACCAAATCTGTTCGCTTGGCCAAAAGAGCTTCTCGTTGTTGAAATCTGTTATCTTTTTTGGCACAGATGGTACTTGAATGTGCTTTGTTATCTTCGTTTTGGATTTAATAGAAGTCTCGGGATCTCGCTTAGTTGAATCCGTCATTGGAAGATTCGTCAAATGTGAACTTCTAAATAGAAAAGGAATTGCGTGTCGTCGCCGACTTTCATCAACTACGGATGTGCAGATAGAGAAGAAATTGATGGTGGCAACGGGCATGGCTGAAGAGGTCAGCGGTGGTGGCGGCGGATTGTGTTTAGACGGAGGCGGCGTGACGGGAGAGGAACTGCGTGGTAAATTTAGAGCTTGGTAAATAAGATAGGGTGGGAAGGGTTAAAGGGTTAATATTTATATATATATATATTTGATTTTTAATTTATTTAAATAATTGTCATATCATAATCGGCGAGTTGATAGAATGTATCATAATACATTTATTTGGACATGGTTTACTTAAATTACATAAGAAAAGTATTTCATAGAAAACATCATAATAGTATTATAGAGACATCATTTTGTGATACTTATATACATCTTTATAATTTGAATTTATACGATTTTAAAAGTAATTATTTGCAAACATTTTTGTTTTGTTTAAGAAAACCTTAATCCCGAAATTATCGGAGGTAGTTATGATAATTTTTCTAATTGATTTTTTTAATTAGATATCTTAATTAATTTTTTGAATTACCAAAATACCCTCAATCAAACTCAATCGTTAGATTGCTAGTAGAATTGATCCAACAGATTAAAAACATTCAGGATGCTCCTGAATTTTAATCAACATCAGGAGGATACCAAAATTTCCAATACTAAAATACCCTTTAATTTTTACCTAAGTTACAAACATACTATTACACGTACAATTACTTTTTACATAAAGTCAAAGGACAAAAATATAAAAACCTCTTACACACCTCAACTAACTAATAAAATACTACTTCCTCCGTCATTCAAATATATTCTCACTTTTCCTTTTTAGTTGTCATCCAAATTTATTTCTGTTTTCTTTTTTAGTAAAAAAATACCACTTTTCTTTAAAAGAAGTAAAAAATTCTATTCTTACACTTTTTTTTTTAAATCCGTGCCCGGTCAAATGAGCACACAATTGGATGACAGAGGGAGTATTATTTTTAAATTTACTACAAAATCCTAAAGGACCCTTTTGGACCGGGACGGAGGGAGTATAAATTAAAAAGAATGATCAAAGTCAAACATTGTGACCTACTCCCTAGTCATAACAAAAGTTATCGCGTAGGCATGGTTCCGCGTTCAAACCGTACGGAACAGAGGCATAACAGTGCCAAACTCCCAAAGTGGTCCATAGAATAGGGTACATAGTATATATTATTTGTGTGATAGTACAAGTACTTAATAAAAAATATACATATATTATAACTCATAAATATGTATAACGTTTTTATTTTGTCATTATTTTATGTACAAATACATGATATATTCTTTTAGGTGATTATATTATCTTTTCTTTGTCGAAATATTGATTGTTTTTCCTCTTATTGAATTGTTAAAATAGTGTTTTGGTTTTTTTTTTCTTTTTCTTTTTTATGACATAATCAATTTCTTTAAACTTATCCATCTTGATAAGAAATTTTACGATGATGGTGTCTTGTTGAATCATATTTAAAACATTCCTTCAACCACTTTGGTTAATGTGACAAGTTAATTTTTTTTTTTAAAAAAATAAAATTTATATATCATAACAAAATATTACAACCAAAGACCACAAACCCTACACTAAATATACAACTAAGAAATTAAAAACCTAAGGAAATAATAGGCCCAAATCATGTAAGAGCCGCCGGCCCAAATACTCCAAATAGTTTCTAACACTTAGGTTAATAAAAAAAATACAATTACCAAAACATCAACAAGACAAGATTTAAAACTCACACCACCGATTAATCTTCTTCA